CGACATAACTTAGATCATCTAGGAGGCGGGTTTTGCCCCTGCCTGTTTGGACCAACCCGGGGTAAGAAAGATACAATGTCCCACCAGAAAGACAAAGATACTAGATATAAATGCTCACCACTCGAGAATCGATCTCGGGTCTTCTACGAGCGACAGACAAGCAGCGCCCAATCACTACATCACAGACGCCGGTTTCTGGTATTCATCATCATCCAGTGCCAGATCTGCGACAGACATCGGCGATCGTGGTTCTCCATTCATTCTTTTGCTCGGATGATCTCTAAAAAGCTACGTTTCCCTGATCTTTCCCTGTTACCCGTTTGTTTAGGTTCCCTAAGAAGGTCGCTGTGGGCTAACCTACCCCTGCCTCGTTTGCCCTCAAGTTTGCCAGTGAGAGCTTGATGTTCTGAATATGACCTCTCAATCGTCCGCTATGAAGGTTAGTTCTGACTGAAGACCCCCCCCCCCAAACACAAAAAACAAACAAACAAACAAAAAACCCACCAAAAAAGCTACGTAAAATTATACAAAACTCAAAACCAAAAACAAAGTAAAAACCTTCAAACGTATAATAACTGCGATTATCATTATGGTATTAGAAGTACCTAAAAGTTTCCATGGCAACATGTTTCATTCAGATCTGGCCTCTGTACACTCCACGATCTAGCATGTTCTAACCAAACTAGAGCCGTCTTTCATCTTGTAGTTGTAGAAAAAACAGAACCTGTCTTGCAGAGAGCATTCATTGTTTCCTTCGTGGCGTTTACAGGAAATGTCCGTTTTCTTCAGCGTTTGGGGAAAACAAATTTGACAAACTGTCAATGATTGATTTATTTCGCAATAGCTTTAAATGTTTACATAAAACTGGAAATAAAGCTTTTAAATGTTCTCTACCAGAATAGTTGTCTCATTGGCCATAGCAGAAGCCACAGATCATCTTTTAGTTTAACCTCCCCACTCCACTGAACCCCCCTCCCCCCACCTCGGGTGTGTGTGTGTGGGGGGAGGGGAATTTCAAGGCAGTAAATTATTGTAGAAGAGAATCTGAACCTTTATTGCAGGAGAACAAGTTTTGTGTTAGAACATGATTATTATGTTAAGAACATGATTACTGTCTTAGGACATGATTACTGAATATTTGGCTAATTCTTCAAGAGACAATGCTGGGCGGGGCGCAGCAGGGGACATCCCAAAAAGACATCTGACAGCCGGTGGTCTATTTCGCAGCTCGAAAAGTCGAGACAAGACACCCCCTCTCCCTTTTTTTCACCCTTCCCCCATCCCCCCACCCTTCAAGCCAATCCTTACTTTAGAATCTCATTCACCTCTTTCACTCCTTTCGAAAATAGAAATGAACTGTCTATCGGAAAGGAGAGAATGGAAACAAACCGGACAAAATTATAATCATCTGAACGTAAAGTGCTGCAGAGTCAAGAAAATCCTAAATAATATGAAGGACAGAATATGACCTCTCAATCGTCCTCTACGAAGGTTAGCTCTGCCTGAAGACCTCATCCCCCCCAAAAAAAAAACAACAACAAAAAAACCCACCAACAACAACTACACACAAACAAACAAACAAACAAAGAAACAAACAGAAACCCAACCAACCCC